AGGTGGATGATGTGTAAAGATGGCAAACTAGGCTTTGGAAATGACATTGTATGTGAGTGACGATGCTTTATAAATAATACCCTGTACTGGTTCATGTGGGAGTATTTGTTTTGGTTTTTCGGTCGCCATACTTGTTTTTCCTGCTATCGGCATGGTTGTGGATGATAGTGCGCTGTTCAGGTCTATGGTTATTGGGAAGTATGAAAGTGTAGAGGACCTTGTGAAGCGGGTGCAACGTTTTCAGATTGTGACGGCGACTTGTTTTTCCCGTGCATGTTCCAAGTCTGCTGCGGCATACCATCGTGGAAGGAGGAAGCCGGTTCCCGATGGGGAACGCTGCGGTTACATCATGTACCGTTGCGTTCATCGTAAACGTGCAGCACCACGTGGCAAGCGGTAAGTTGTGTTAATCTTTTGCATCAAGGCTACTAACGCATGTAGATACAAATCGTACGATTGCAAGGCTCGGTTCTCGGTGGTTTTGAAAGATGGGAAATATGTCGTTGGGAGTTACGTCATGACGCATAGTCATGATTTTCATGTTGGCAACCCATGGTTGTATGCAGCGAACCGTCGTCTGTCTCCGGAGCAAGAGAGGGAAGTTCTGCGTCTGATGGGTAGTTTCCATAGTACCCCGGATTTGCGTCATTTTATTTACTTGGAGTACGGCAAAATGGTAACTCGTCTCGACCTGTACAATTTGCGGATTCGTCATCGGAATGGGAATGCTTGTGAAGTGTCAGATGTGTCAACGATGTTGCAAGGGCACGGTGCGTGTCGGTTGGTGTCCGAGGACAGTGAAATACGTCACGTGTTTTTCTCTCCATCCGTAGTTGGCGGCATTGTAAGTCGTTATTGTGAGGTGATTTTATGCGATGCGACCCATCAACTGAATTATGGCGGCTACGTTTTGTGGCACTGCATGCTGGTTGATGTCACCGGTCTGGGCATTTCCTTTTTCTACGCCCTATTACCGGATGAGACATCCTACAGCTATGGGCAGGCGGTTGAGGCGATGCGGGATATGGTGCCTAGCACCTTACGTTGCCGCACGGTGGTGATGGATAAATGCGCTGCTCAGATCCGCGCGTTCAGACGATTTTATCCGGACGCGAAGGTAGTTTTTTGTCGTTACCACGTGAAAGTGGACATGTCTAGACGTTGCGGCCGCTTACGCGGGATCTCTGATCCGCGTAGAATGCAATTACGAGGTTGGCTGCATAACCTCATATGCACACGAGACGCCTCGGTGTTTGACAGCATATTGAACGCGGTGGGCAGGGCGTCTCCTGAATTGTACGGTTATTTGTGCGCGACGTGGATTCCCCACGCCGACTCTTGGGCGGCGCACAGACTCAGGGATACCATTCTATTTGGTTGCCACACCACCAACAGGGTGGAGAATGAAAACCGACATTTGAAGGAATACCTGTCTGAGAGGTCCTCCCTACTCACCCTATTCAATTGCGTGGTTGATAGGGTGAACACACTGGTGCACCGAAGGAACAGCATACTAGGTAGGCGGTGCATGAGTGCAATTGCTGTTCCATCGGAGGTGTCCTCAGTCGCTTCCGTATTCTGCAAACTAAGCGACTTTGCGGGGGATGTTTTCATGCAGCATTTCCGTACGTCGACGGTTCTCAGTTGTAGGGCTGATGGGCCTTACTGGTTGGTTAACTGTCCTCTTTCGAGAGTGCGCAGAGTGTACATAACGCGGGGCAGTGAATGCGATTGTGAGTTTCATCGGCAGTGGCGGCTGCCATGTGCTCACATTTGTTATGTGGCGGCTCGGCACCCTCACGCTGCGCAATCAGTAAAATTGTTTACGTGTATACCAAGGTTAATGCAAATAAGAATATATGTGCATTTGCTAAGTTGTCGGCGTACATGTAAAATTGGGTTACATGAGAAAGAGTATATATATATATATATATATATACATATATATATATATATGTGTATATGTATATACGCCTTCTCATTTTACCCCTTCTACATGAACGCGGACAACTTAGCACATGCACACATATTGTTATTTGCATTAACCTTGGTATACACGTAAAAATACGTAAACAAATTTATTTAATGCGATTATTCATCCTCATTGACCGAAACAAATGAAACCAATCCCGCGCATCCAATTTCAATAGTACCCATTTATGACCTCAATAACACAACAAAATATGTTAGTAAGCCTCTATTCCTTATCTGATTGCTGCACGTCTCTCCCTATGCCATTAAACATGAACACACTGATGCCTTCCTCATTATAGTTCTCTGTTTCTTATTTCTCCAGATACACAACATTAGGTCTCATGGCACGTTACCTTCAAAGCATCAGCAGTAAGTTACACACTTACTATTTACGCAAATTTGCTACGTACCATTAAAAATTACCATTAAATTGCCTCCAAATGTTCCATTTCATATCACCCATGTACATCACTCCTCCAATTAGCATTCCGTGTGATTTTGGTAACCTTTCACTTGATGCAACGTTATAAGTCTTTTCCGTTTCTTATCTACAGATAGTTTTCGTATTTAAGTACGTAACATTTAGAGCGATTTCTGACGCCAAAATAATGCCACAATTCCTAAACGTTATTTCATCCCATTCCCATCGGTTGACTTTCCGCCAACATCACGACCTTACTTATATTAACCCCCTTGACTCAGTATAATGTTATCACATCATAAGTCATCCAGTACTATTAAACGATTCATCTTAATTTATATTACCTATTCTTAGTACTATGAACGCAATTTCTTTCAGCCCACTAATAGATGTACCAGTAGTCACCAAAAAATTTCAAAATTTTCCGCCGATTTCCCATCAGACTTTCCCGGATATGACTCGCCTGCAATTACAGTCACCGCCCATGGTTACCTAGGCAACTCACCCCACCAAGGTCGGTTCTTAACTCTTCTCACCCCATTCATGCGATGAAGCACATATGTAGCGGCAACTATGCACACTGTAGCGATTGTAAATAATTTGCTTATTTTGCATTTTCACGTTTACCTATTTCGCTGCAGTTGTTGTACAGCTTTGTTTTAATTAACTGTATATACACACACTTGGTTACGCGCTCGCCTTCCGTGGTTCTTCCTTGGTTGCCGCTGGATTGTTGTGATTGTGCGCATCGCTGCCTGCTTGGTTCACGATCGGACTCTACGTACACGTACATTTCGGCATACCTCGGGATTTACGGCCGTCCGACGCTAAGGTGCATCAGGATACTTTATATGTGAGGTAAACCTGACTGACTTGGTATTCTCCTTTACCGGTTCCTCCATATAATTGGTGACCCCGCATTTTTATTCAACATTTTGTGTATATTTTCTTTTTTAACTTACAATGTCTGATCACGCGCCTGCCATTAATGCGTCGGAACATTCTCTTGGACTCGTTTTGCCTTCATTTGACGTTTCTAACCCACGTGTTTGGTTTGTTCAAGTGGAAGCTGTTTTCCGTTTTCGTAAGATTACATCCCAGTCCACAATGTTTTCATATGTGACTGCTCACTTACCGTCCAACATCGCCTCTGAGGTCATCGACATTCTTGACCCTATGCCCCTAGAGTCCCCTTATGATAAACTTAAGGCAGCTATATTAAAGCGCACTACAGCCTCAGACGAATCACGCCTTCAGCAGTTACTCTCTGGTGTTGAACTTGGAGATAGAACGCCATCTCAGTTACTCCGACACATGCGTTCCCTCGTCGGTTCTTCCGCACTGGATGATTCCGTTCTCCGCCAGTTGTGGAGTAATTGTCTTCCTGCGAATACCACGGCTATTTTAGCTGTGCTTGCCGACGATCTTCCGCTAGACAAACTGGCAGAAGCTGCCGATAAGGTTCACGAACGCTTCATTAGAACGTCGGTATCACACGTCACAGAGACTAGCTCCGGCAGCCCCTCCAGAACCACGCTACTTGATACAATCAGCGAGAGGCTTTCTAACTTAGAGCTCACCTTGTCCCATCTCAGACGCGACCGCGTTCCTTCGCGACGATCCGTTTCTCGATCCAGACGGTCTAGCAGCTCTCGTACACGGAAGTCTCACCGTTATTGTTATTATCACCACCGCTTCGGAGACGCAGCGCGTAAGTGCCGTCCAGGGTGTAAACACCCCAAAGCCTTTTCAACTCCTACGTCGGGAAACCACATGGCCAGCCAGTAATGGCGGCGGCTGTCGCTGGCCAGGTTATTAGTCGCCTGTTGTATGTATTTGACTCCACAACCAAACTTCACTTCTTGGTTGATACTGGTGCAGAAGTCAGCGTTCTCCCCCGTTCTCTGGAAAAACGCCCCCTGCAACCAGCGGGTCCAATGCTTACGGCAGCTAATCAGACTAAAATCGCGACCTACGGCCAGAAATTACTTACTTTGAGTCTCGGATTACGGCGTAACTTCCCTTTCCTTTTTACCATCGCCGATGTGCAAAAGCCCATTATCGGAATCGACTTCCTCAGCAAGTTCGGTCTTGTGGTCGACCTACGTTGTGGGAAATTGCGAGACGATACTACGTCTTTAAGCATACCCTGCAAACTTGCCTCAGTCAATTCTCTCGGGCTTCGCATCCTCATCCCTGACGACTCACAGTATTCTTCATTGCTCCGACAATTTCCGTCCCTAATTCGAGCAAGTAACGACACTTCCGATCCTAAACACGATGTACGCCATCACATCGTTACAACCGGTCCGCCTGTAACTGCTAAAGCTCGACGCTTGCGTCCTGACAAACTCCAGGCAGCTAAAAAGGAATTCCAACACATGCTTGATCTCGGCATTATTCGTCCTTCAAACAGCTGCTGGGCATCACCTCTCCATCTGGTGTCTAAAAAGTCAGGCGATTGGCGACCATGCGGTGACTACCGTGCTCTTAACAACGTCACTGTTCCGGATAGGTATCCTATCCCACATATCCACGATTTCTCCCTTGGACTAGCTGGAAAGTCAATCTTTACCAAACTCGATCTTGTCAGAGCTTACCATCAAATTCCAATGGCGGAGGAAGACATCGCAAAAACTGCCGTGATCACTCCATTCGGCCTTTACGAATTTCTTCGTATGCCTTTCGGCCTCCGGAACGCAGCACAGTCTTTCCAACGCTTTATGGATCAGGTCCTCCGTGGCCTTGATTTCGTCTACGTTTACATTGACGATGTCTTGATCGCAAGCGCCACACCCGACGAGCATTTATCACACCTCCGAATGGTTTTCGAACGCTTTGAAAACCACGGGATAAACATCAACCCGGATAAATGCAAATTTGGTCAGCCAACCGTCGAATTTCTCGGTCACAAGATCGATGGTGAAGGTATTAAACCCCTTCCGGATAAATCTCAAGCAATCCTCGACTACCCGATGCCACAATCTGTCCGAAGCCTACGCCGATTCCTCGGTATGATCAACTACTACGGCAGATTCATTCCCAACTGTGCTGATTTACTTCACCCGCTTACCGACTTACTGAAAGGAAACTCAAAGACGTTTACGATAACCCCAGAAGTTGAAGCCGCTTTCACGGCCGTTAAGCAGAAGTTCAGTGAGGTCACCTCTCTCCATCACTTGAACACCACTGAGGACGCTACACTTGTCCTTAAGACGGATGCTTCAAGTTCTGCTGTCGGTGCAGTTTTGCAACAGTTAGTTGATAACGAATTTCAACCACTGTCTTTTTTCTCACGGAAGCTTCAACCTGCTCAGGTCAGGTACAGCACCTTTGGTCGTGAACTGCTCGCCATGTACTTGGCTGTGAAACATTTCCGTCACCTTTTAGAAGGACGTCGTTTCATTCTCTTGACAGATCACAAGCCACTGGTGTATGCCTTCCGTTCTTCCTCAGACCGTTACTCACCCCGAGAAACGCGTCATCTGGACTATCTTTCACAGTTTTGTGTTGATGTTCGTTATATCGACGGTCCTAACAACGTTGTTGCCGATGCATTGTCCCGCGCTCATATGAATCAACTGTCATCGACACCCATCGACTTGGAGAGAATAGCGGCCGCCCAAAACGATGATCCTGAGCTCGTTCAACTTCGTTCAAACTCCTCATTGAAAGTCACCCAACTGCCCGTACTTAACTCTGACATAAGAGTTTACTGTGATCTTTCAACCGGTAAGCCTAGACCCTTTGTCCCACAATCATTTCGCCGAACCATTTTTGATCATTTTCACGGTTTTTCACACCCAAGTATCCGCTCCACCGTAAAACTCATTACCGACCGCTTCCTCTGGCCCAATATGCGTTCAGACATTAGACAGTGGGCTAAACATTGCCTTAGTTGCCAAACTAGTAAAGTGCATCGTCACACAGTCACCACCCCAGGTACATTTTCACTCCCTGACGCTCGTTTTAGACACGTGCACGTAGATATTGTTGGCCCTTTACCTCCTTCCAACGGTTTCACTCATCTTCTAACATGTGTTGACCGTTTTACCCGTTGGCCACAAGCTGTTCCCTTACGTGATACCTCTACCGAATCTGTATCCCGTGCTTTTGTCGAATCTTGGATTTCTCTGTTTGGTGTTCCATCCACCATCACTACCGACAGAGGGGCTCAGTTCAGTTCCACACTGTTCCGCGATCTGAGTCGTTTATTAGGCTGTACTCACATGAGAACAACCGCGTACCACCCCGCTGCCAATGGCCTCGTCGAGCGCTTTCATCGACAATTAAAAGCTGCCATCATGGCTACTTCGTCCGACTCACGCTGGTCTGAGCGTCTACCTGCGATCCTCCTTGGTATACGCAATACAATCAAAGAGGACATTGGGTGCTGCCCTGCAGAACTCGTGTTCGGGACGACCCTCAGACTACCTGGGGAGATGGTACTGGACTCTCGCACCACCGGCGAACTAGACCCCTTCTCGTACGCTGAACGCCTCAAACAGCATTTTCGATCCATTCGACCAACGTCTACGCGGCCTAACCTACGTAAACAGCAAGTCCACCCCGATTTGCACAAGTGTCCGTTTGTTTTCATCCGCGTCGACGCCGTCCGAAGACCTTTAACTCCGCCCTACGACGGCCCGTACCAGGTCTTGTCACGGAAACCCAAGTATTTCGTATTGAATAAGAATGGATCAAAAGAATCCGTGAGCATCGACCGACTCAAGCCAGCTTACGTCGAAACTACAGTCGATAGTAAAGACCCCGTTTCCTCCCCTCAGCATACCCCCGCCCCTGACTCATTACCCCCTACCCAACGACACACTGACGCCAGTACATTGAGTCCTCCGTGCCCTACGACTACACGCAGCTCCAAACACACACGTTCTGGTCGTGTTGTTTCCTTTCCACATAAGCTTGCTCAATACGTTCCGTAGGCACTTGTCGAGCGTTTTCTTAGTGCACGCTCTAGGGGGGAGTACTGTAGCGATTGTAAATAATTTGCTTATTTTGCATTTTCACGTTTACCTATTTCGCTGCAGTTGTTGTACAGCTTTGTTTTAATTAACTGTATATACACACACTTGGTTACGAGCTCGCCTTCCGTGGTTCTTCCTTGGTTGCCGCTGGATTGTTGTGATTGTGCGCATCGCTGCCTGCTTGGTTCACGATCGGACTCTACGTACACGTACATTTCGGCATACCTCGGGATTTACGGCCGTCCGACGCTAAGGTGCATCAGGATACTTTATATGTGAGGTAAACCTGACTGACTTGGTATTCTCCTTTACCGGTTCCTCCATATAATTGGTGACCCCGCATTTTTTATTCAACATTTTGTGTATATTTTTCTTTTTTAACTTACAATGTCTGATCACGCGCCTGCCATTAATGCGTCGGAACATTCTCTTGGACTCGTTTTGCCTTCATTTGACGTTTCTAACCCACGTGTTTGGTTTGTTCAAGTGGAAGCTGTTTTCCGTTTTCGTAAGATTACATCCCAGTCCACAATGTTTTCATATGTGACTGCTCACTTACCGTCCAACATCGCCTCTGAGGTCATCGACATTCTTGACCCTATGCCCCTAGAGTCCCCTTATGATAAACTTAAGGCAGCTATATTAAAGCGCACTACAGCCTCAGACGAATCACGCCTTCAGCAGTTACTCTCTGGTGTTGAACTTGGAGATAGAACGCCATCTCAGTTACTCCGACACATGCGTTCCCTCGTCGGTTCTTCCGCACTGGATGATTCCGTTCTCCGCCAGTTGTGGAGTAATTGTCTTCCTGCGAATACCACGGCTATTTTAGCTGTGCTTGCCGACGATCTTCCGCTAGACAAACTGGCAGAAGCTGCCGATAAGGTTCACGAACGCTTCATTAGAACGTCGGTATCACACGTCACAGAGACTAGCTCCGGCAGCCCCTCCAGAACCACGCTACTTGATACAATCAGCGAGAGGCTTTCTAACTTAGAGCTCACCTTGTCCCATCTCAGACGCGACCGCGTTCCTTCGCGACGATCCGTTTCTCGATCCAGACGGTCTAGCAGCTCTCGTACACGGAAGTCTCACCGCTATTGTTATTATCACCACCGCTTCGGAGACGCAGCGCGTAAGTGCCGTCCAGGGTGTAAACACCCCAAAGCCTTTTCAACTCCTACGTCGGGAAACCACATGGCCAGCCAGTAATGGCGGCGGCTGTCGCTGGCCAGGTTATTAGTCGCCTGTTGTATGTATTTGACTCCACAACCAAACTTCACTTCTTGGTTGATACTGGTGCAGAAGTCAGCGTTCTCCCCCGTTCTCTGGAAAAACGCCCCCTGCAACCAGCGGGTCCAATGCTTACGGCAGCTAATCAGACTAAAATCGCGACCTACGGCCAGAAATTACTTACTTTGAGTCTCGGATTACGGCGTAACTTCCCTTTCCTTTTTACCATCGCCGATGTGCAAAAGCCCATTATCGGAATCGACTTCCTCAGCAAGTTCGGTCTTGTGGTCGACCTACGTTGTGGGAAATTGCGAGACGATACTACGTCTTTAAGCATACCCTGCAAACTTGCCTCAGTCAATTCTCTCGGGCTTCGCATCCTCATCCCTGACGACTCACAGTATTCTTCATTGCTCCGACAATTTCCGTCCCTAATTCGAGCAAGTAACGACACTTCCGATCCTAAACACGATGTACGCCATCACATCGTTACAACCGGTCCGCCTGTAACTGCTAAAGCTCGACGCTTGCGTCCTGACAAACTCCAGGCAGCTAAAAAGGAATTCCAACACATGCTTGATCTCGGCATTATTCGTCCTTCAAACAGCTGCTGGGCATCACCTCTCCATCTGGTGTCTAAAAAGTCAGGCGATTGGCGACCATGCGGTGACTACCGTGCTCTTAACAACGTCACTGTTCCGGATAGGTATCCTATCCCACATATCCACGATTTCTCCCTTGGACTAGCTGGAAAGTCAATCTTTACCAAACTCGATCTTGTCAGAGCTTACCATCAAATTCCAATGGCGGAGGAAGACATCGCAAAAACTGCCGTGATCACTCCATTCGGCCTTTACGAATTTCTTCGTATGCCTTTCGGCCTCCGGAACGCAGCACAGTCTTTCCAACGCTTTATGGATCAGGTCCTCCGTGGCCTTGATTTCGTCTACGTTTACATTGACGATGTCTTGATCGCAAGCGCCACACCCGACGAGCATTTATCACACCTCCGAATGGTTTTCGAACGCTTTGAAAACCACGGGATAAACATCAACCCGGATAAATGCAAATTTGGTCAGCCAACCGTCGAATTTCTCGGTCACAAGATCGATGGTGAAGGTATTAAACCCCTCCCGGATAAATCTCAAGCAATCCTCGACTACCCGATGCCACAATCTGTCCGAAGCCTACGCCGATTCCTCGGTATGATCAACTACTACGGCAGATTCATTCCCAACTGTGCTGATTTACTTCACCCGCTTACCGACTTACTGAAAGGAAACTCAAAGACGTTTACGATAACCCCAGAAGTTGAAGCCGCTTTCACGGCCGTTAAGCAGAAGTTCAGTGAGGTCACCTCTCTCCATCACTTGAACACCACTGAGGACGCTACACTTGTCCTTAAGACGGATGCTTCAAGTTCTGCTGTCGGTGCAGTTTTGCAACAGTTAGTTGATAACGAATTTCAACCACTGTCTTTTTTCTCACGGAAGCTTCAACCTGCTCAGGTCAGGTACAGCACCTTTGGTCGTGAACTGCTCGCCATGTACTTGGCTGTGAAACATTTCCGTCACCTTTTAGAAGGACGTCGTTTCATTCTCTTGACAGATCACAAGCCACTGGTGTATGCCTTCCGTTCTTCCTCAGACCGTTACTCACCCCGAGAAACGCGTCATCTGGACTATCTTTCACAGTTTTGTGTTGATGTTCGTTATATCGACGGTCCTAACAACGTTGTTGCCGATGCATTGTCCCGCGCTCATATGAATCAACTGTCATCGACACCCATCGACTTGGAGAGAATAGCGGCCGCCCAAAACGATGATCCTGAGCTTGTTCAACTTCGTTCAAACTCCTCATTGAAAGTCACCCAACTGCCCGTACTTAACTCTGACATAAGAGTTTACTGTGATCTTTCAACCGGTAAGCCTAGACCCTTTGTCCCACAATCATTTCGCCGAACCATTTTTGATCATTTTCACGGTTTTTCACACCCAAGTATCCGCTCCACCGTAAAACTCATTACCGACCGCTTCCTCTGGCCCAATATGCGTTCAGACATTAGACAGTGGGCTAAACATTGCCTTAGTTGCCAAACTAGTAAAGTGCATCGTCACACAGTCACCACCCCAGGTACATTTTCACTCCCTGACGCTCGTTTTAGACACGTGCACGTAGATATTGTTGGCCCTTTACCTCCTTCCAACGGTTTCACTCATCTTCTAACATGTGTTGACCGTTTTACCCGTTGGCCACAAGCTGTTCCCTTACGTGATACCTCTACCGAATCTGTATCCCGTGCTTTTGTCGAATCTTGGATTTCTCTGTTTGGTGTTCCATCCACCATCACTACCGACAGAGGGGCTCAGTTCAGTTCCACACTGTTCCGCGATCTGAGTCGTTTATTAGGCTGTACTCACATGAGAACAACCGCGTACCACCCCGCTGCCAATGGCCTCGTCGAGCGCTTTCATCGACAATTAAAAGCTGCCATCATGGCTACTTCGTCCGACTCACGCTGGTCTGAGCGTCTACCTGCGATCCTCCTTGGTATACGCAATACAATCAAAGAGGACATTGGGTGCTGCCCTGCAGAACTCGTGTTCGGGACGACCCTCAGACTACCTGGGGAGATGGTACTGGACTCTCGCACCACCGGCGAACTAGACCCCTTCTCGTACGCTGAACGCCTCAAACAGCATTTTCGATCCATTCGACCAACGTCTACGCGGCCTAACCTACGTAAACAGCAAGTCCACCCCGATTTGCACAAGTGTCCGTTTGTTTTCATCCGCGTCGACGCCGTCCGAAGACCTTTAACTCCGCCCTATGACGGCCCGTACCAGGTTTTGTCACGGAAACCGAAGTATTTCGTGTTGAATAAGAATGGATCAAAAGAATCCGTGAGCATCGACCGACTCAAGCCAGCTTACGTCGAAACTACAGTCGATAGTAAAGACCCCGTTTCCTCCCCTCAGCATACCCCCGCCCCTGACTCATTACCCCCTACCCAACGACACACTGACGCTAGTACATTGAGTCCTCCGTGCCCTACGACTACACGCAGCTCCAAACACACACGTTCTGGTCGTGTTGTTTCTTTTCCACATAAGCTTGCTCAATACGTTCCGTAGGCACTTGTCGAGCGTTTTCTTAGTGCACGCTCTAGGGGGGAGTACTGTAGCGATTGTAAATAATTTGCTTATTTTGCATTTTCACGTTTACCTATTTCGCTGCAGTTGTTGTACAGCTTTGTTTTAATTAACTTTATATACACACACTTGGTTACGCGCTCGCCTTCCGTGGTTCTTCCTTGGTTGCCGCTGGATTGTTGTGATTGTGCGCATCGCTGCCTGCTTGGTTCACGATCGGACTCTACGTACACGTACATTTCGGCATACCTCGGGATTTACGGCCGTCCGACGCTAAGGTGCATCAGGATACTTTATATGTGAGGTAAACCTGACTGACTTGGTATTCTCCTTTACCGGTTCCTCCATAACACTCAAACAGTTACACACATGTACTTCCACGTACGTGTAGGAACTCATAGCTCCGATGTTCGTGGCTAACTTGCACTACTTTTAAAAGTGCAGGGATAGTAACGTACCTTTACCATGAGTACACCTTTATAGGCGTGACTCGCATTGTCCAGGAATAATGAATCTCTTGATTGATTTATTTATCTCGTTACTCAGAAAATCATTACTCTTACGCAAATAAATAAATAGAGATTTTATTCTCTACAAAGTCAGGCACACATTTACAAACATGAGTATGGTAACATAACCATGCTTGCTGAAGAATATGCGGAAATACGATATGATTGGCATAAAAGTGTATGTTTGTGTAGTGAAGTATATACCTTAGTACTTGTGTGTTCCTAGTT